CTGTGAGAAAGTGCGGACCTGGGACTAAACAGGCCGGCTTTGAATTCCAGCTCAGTGCCTACTTAGCTGTGTGACTTCAGGCAAGTTACTTAACCTCTCTGCGCCCCAGTTTCCGCTTCTGGAGAAATGGGGTGACAGTACTTAGGGAACTGCTGTGAGGGTTGAGTGAGTCCATGGGACATAGTACACATAGTAAGCAACGTGCTAGCTGTTATTTTTACTGTTGTTACAACACCTGATTGTACTGGTGAGGAAATAGACTCTTAGTAACTTGCCCGGTCACACAGGTGTGATGGACGTGTCCTATCACCACACTTTCATCAGATATCCACACAGCCGCCCGTGGCTGCAGGCACTTGAAATGCTGCCGGTACAGCTGAGCAGCTGGGTGTTACATTTAAGTTCATGTTCACGTTAGTTTAGAAGCCGGGTGTGGCGGGAGGCCCTGTGAGGGACAGAGCCAGCACCTGGGTCCCCCAGCCAGTGAGGTGATGTACATGAGCCTTGCGTGCCCTGAGAGTAGCACCCACTGCCCTAGCAGCCAGTTCGAGGAGGGAGACAGCCTGTTGGGTCCTGGCCTCTCTGGCCCCTCCCTGGGGCCGTGTAGACGTGTGGAAAGCAGTCACTGAATCCATCCTCTCTAGCCCCCTCTCCCCCCCCCTCCCCGGGCCCTGGCACAGAATAAGCACAGCCAGCGGTGGGTGAAGGTAGGTGACCTCTCTTTAAAACCTTGCACTTTTCTGCTTTGATACGGTCTGTTCTCTGGTTCAGGATGCTGGGCTCTTTGAGAAGTTAGTTCTAGCCCAGCCGGTGTGGCTCAGTGGTTGAGTGTTGACCTATGAACCAGGATGGCACGCGTCAATTCCTGGTCAGGGCACCTGCCTGGGTTGCAGGCTCGATCCCCAGTGTGGGGCGTGCAAAGAAGCAGCCGGTCAATGATTCTCCCTCATCATTGATCTTTCTGTCTCTCTCCCTCTCCCTTCCTCTCTGAAAGCAATAAAAGTATTTTTTTTTTTTAAAAAAAAGAAGAAGTCTAGGGGAGGCCAGGGGATTGTCAAGGGCAGGGGGAAAAAAGGAGACATATGTAAAACCCTTTGTAATACTTTAAGCAATAAAAAGAAGAAGAAGAAGAAGTCAGTCCTAGAGTCTCTCTCACGGGCAGGGTGCCAGCGTCAGGGTTACTGGTGACTTAAAGGAAGATCATTGCGCGTGAATCAGACAGAGGTTTCCGGAGACCTCTGTGGTAGGTGGAAGGGGAGCCACTGGTCCCCCTTTGCCTGGGACTTTAGCACCGACGGTCCTCCAGCCCTGAACCCCCATCCCCGTCCCAGCAAAGCGGGAAAGTGGGCCACCTCCTTCTGTGGACAGCGACTGGCCTCTGCTTGCTTTGAAGGAGGGACGAAAACCAACCAGTGGGGGAGGGGGGTGGCGGGGGGGCGGATGAGACCTTTGTCACGTCGACCCCGTCGCTGGCAGCTATAAGGACACCTTGTGCCAAGAAGTGGCAGCTACAGGGCCTGGCTCAGGTGAGCAGAAATGACTGGATGAAGGTCTCACTGGGGAGAGGCAGTGGGGTCCTCTTCCTGCCTGGAGAGAAGGGAGCGCTGCAGGTTGAGGGAGCCTCTCACTGGCTACAGGTGGCCTTGGCTCCCCGTCCCGGGTCCTGCCCCCTCTCAGGTGGATCTGGGTAAATTAGAAAGGAGCTTTCCTAGGCCAGGTGGGGGCCAAGGATCAATCCTATGACAGAGGACAGTTGGTCCGGATTGGAGTCAAGGTGAGGGACCCACCCATAACCAGGTGTTTATGATGTTACTTTTTGGTCTTTTATGGGTCACCTCCAAGCAGAATGCTCTGTGCTCTTACAGTAATATTTGTTTATGTTCTTTTTAAATATATTTTTTATTGATTTCAGAGAGGAAGGAAGAGGGAGAGAGAAACATCAATGATGAGAGAGAATCATTGATCGGCTGCCTCCTGCACGCCCCCCACCGGAGATCGAGCCCATAACCCTTGACCAGAATCGAAGCTGGGACCTTTCAGTTTGTAGGCTGACGCTCTATCCACTGAGCCACACCAGCTAGGGCTGTGTGTTTTTTAAAATATATATATTTTTTTATTTCAGAGAGAGAGAGAGAGAGAGAGTTTGAAACATCCTGACGCTCTATCCACTGAGCCACACCAGCTAGGGCTGTGTGTTTTTTAAAATATATATATTTTTTTATTTCAGAGAGAGAGAGAGGGAGAGAGTTTGAAACATCATTGATGAGAGAATCATTGATTGGCTGCCTCCTGCACACCCCTCACTGGGGATCGAGCCCACAGCCTGGGCATGTGCCTTGACTGGGAATCCAACCGTGACCTCCTGGTTCATAGGTCGACGCTCAACTGCTGAGCCACGCTGGCTGGGCAATTTTTTAAACCCAGGAAACGTGTGGCTCTAATCTCCCTCGGTTAATGGCGCAGACATAGTATGGTGGTTCAGACTCTCAGGAGGCATGTCTGGGGCTAGTTCATGACCACAAGGTCAGGTTTTAAGAAAAAGAAATAAGGTAAAACTCCAAATGTCAGATGTGGAACCACAAACTTATGAAGGGACGATGGTAGCCGGCAGCACCAGGCATCTACCCATCCCAGAGGTTCCAAGACCAAATCAGGTAATTTAATTCTTTCCCTGAGGCCAGAAACAGTGCAATTAAATGAATAATCTCCTACGCTGCTTTGTACACACCCAGTTTGGGTTTCCTTTCAGCCACCTGGAGCGCACACTTGTCCTGCGATGATGGAGGGCTGGGCTGGGAAGACAGGCCTTTGGGGGCAGGCAGGAAAGTCCCTATGTCTGTCTGTCTGTCTCTCACCTGTCAGGGAGGAGCATGTGGCAGGAGATGGGCCTCTGGGAAGGATTTGGCTTCTGCTTCCCACCTGCATTGTTCCTACTCAGAGGATCTTGGTCAAGTCGCTTCTCCTGCACCAGGAGAGCCGAGGGCTGGGACAGGCAGCCAGCTACCCACTGCCAGGCACTAAATCAACTCAATAGGATGTTAACCCAGAGATGACTAACTCCTTTGGGAGCGGGGTGGGGAATTCACAGCCCACAGAGCCTAATCCCTTAGCATCAGGGGCACTGAGCACGCATGGGACAGAATAGATGCCACCCCGGCTTTGTGCCGCGCCTCAGAAAGCCTGCTGTGGCATTGATGTGGACCCAGCCGGATGGGACCGGGCAAGATAGGACGGGTGGCACATACACCTGGCCGGGATCAGCCATTCCGGGCCAGCCCATGGGCGAGGCCTCACAGGGCTGAGGGCCCGCTACGGTCTGCATTTCCAGCAAGTGCCTGCTTGTAAGGGAAAATAAAATGCCTGCTCTCTGAATTGCTGCGTCCTTAAACTCATGCGTGCACTGATACACATGCGTGCACACCACAGGAGTGAGCACTGGGTCCTTACGAGCACTCTGGTGGATGCAGTGCTCATGCACAGTCTTGCACACACAGTGCACACGCAGTCGCTCAAAGTTCACTTGCATATATGGGTGCACACTCCCATATCGTGGGCAAAGGGAGAGGCTTGGTGCTGCTCCATCCCCCATTTCTGTATGTTTCCCTCCATGGCAATAGGTCTGGACGAACCTTGGCAGTAAAGATAAGGTGGTGGGGGGGG